GTTACTATCATCATCCTTATATCGCCATCACTCACCTTCATTCATTATCCCCATCTTCATCACCACCATCATTATCACTCTCCTCTCTCGTCATCACCACCATTGCCATCATCACTGTCATCATTACTGTCATGACTGTCATTATCATGACTATTGCCATCAGTTTACCATTGTCATCACTATCATCTGTCAACATCACCATTATCCCCATCACTATTACCATCATCACCATTACCACCAGATACCACCATTACCATCACTACCATCTGCATCATCTTTCATATCTATTTTAATTGATTGCTTTGAAAAAATTGCACTAAAACTCCCATACCCATGATCTCACTTAATCTTCACATTACTTTCTTCTTATGAAGGTGAGAAACTGAAGCACTGACTAGGCTTACAGCCCGGACTAAGTCATGTAGTGAGACATTGTCTCAAAAGAGCCAAAACAATCATAGCCAAGTAGCAATATGAGGATCTAGGCACTACACTGTCAAAGCCTGTTTTCAACACTAATGGTTAAAAGCAACTCTGCCAAAAAGTGTGATATGCCTTACTAACCAAAGTTGGACCTACCAATGTGAACCAAAACCTTCTTGCCATTGACCCTACCTTCTCTTTCCCAAACCCTTCAAGAATACCATGGCATTTGTTTGGGTCAGACCGTGACAGTGGAAGTACTCGGCTTGTGTATTCTCAGCCAGGACCCTTCCAAATTTAAATCCCTTGACACTGTTTGACTTAAAAAATGCTTCAAACAAAGTTGTTAGAAAACTGGAGGGCTATAAACATTTTTAGTGTCATATAAGCCCAAACTCTTGCCAGAACCAGCTTATCACACTAGGCAGTTGTGTTTTCCAATGTCACTCATGTATTTTTTGAGAGTGGTCATGTGTGAATCTGTAAAAGAATGGAGTTTCCTTGTCTACCACAGCATTGTGGTGGTGGCTGGGACTTTCCAATTATGTCCTTTATTGTTTGTTTGCATGATTTATGAATCCAGAAAAAAAATTATTTGTCATCTAATTCAGAACAAAGCTCTGTGGTTTCTCAAGAAAGTGACCTTTGACCTGAAAACTTTCTGACAAGGAAGACAGTAGTCCTCATGGTGGGCTCTGAAGACCGATGGAGACAAGCACATAGCAGCTCCTGCCATGAGCTTGTGCAAGCCATGGCTTCCTTCTATTTATAAGTCTGCTGTTCATATCGACAGACACTTTGAGAACACAGAAACAATCCTATTGTATTGTATTATATGGTAGAAAACACAGAAAATGAAATGTATGTATCATGTGCCCTAAGGGATGATATAAATACAGATTCAGTGTCCCCCCCCCCCAAGTATATTATGTGTTGGAAATGTAATCCCCAAATTCATATGGTAGAGGTATTTAGAGAGACCATTGGAAGATAAATTAGGGTTCAAGGCACTCATGCCCCATGAAGACTGGTGGGTTTATGAAAAGAGGAGGACAGGGCAGAGCTGGGATGCTGACCCTAGATACAGAATGAGGCCCTCACCTGATGCTGAACGGGTGCCTACAGCATGCTCGAGCTTCCCAGAGTCTGACTGTGAGTTAAATCAACCTCTATTCTTATAAAGTGCCTAGGCCATGGTACTTGGTGCAATGAAAGCAAATGGTCTAAGACAGAGCAAGTATCATGCATTTTTATTAGGCTGCAGTACTGGAGTTTTGAAGTCAGGGTTTCACATTGCTATGCCTCCAGTGTGTGTGTGTTTGTGTTTGTGTGTGTGTGTGTGTGTGTGTGTGTGTTGGTAGTGGGGCTTGAAATCTAGGCCTGACTACTATCCCATAGTTTTCTTTTTTCCTCACTCAAAAAAAACCCCAAAACTTTGCCTTTTCTGTCTGGGTTGTCTTTGAACCAATATTCTCAGATTTCAGCCTTCTGAATAGCTAGGATTATCAGGCTGAGCCACTGGTGCCTGACTGTATCATGCATTTTTTAAAGGAGGCTTTTGCTCTGGATTAAGAAATGCTTAGAAACACATCTGTGCAGACTCGAAAATCTACATACATACACTAAGATATCAGCTCTGAGTTCAGTGCTGAGGGAAACAAGAAAGCATAAAATACATGGTCTCTGCCCTCAGAAATAGAGGTTCCAGCCGAAGAAACAGTTAAAATGAACACTCTTGCTGAGCAGTTCTGAGATGACCTGGGAAGTCTCCCTGGAGACACCTGGGACCTTGCTATTTGTCGCCCCCTTCTGGCCAATTTCCAGTCAGCCCTCCTTTTTAATAGACATACTTGTAGATCCAACCCCAACAAGGATCAGAACTATTTGGGGATAAAAATGGCATCATTTCTTTGCAACAATGAGATGTACAAGTCGTTACATCGAAAAATGAACTTTACAACTTTGGTGGGGGGGAGGATTTGGTGGGGGGAGGTGGGGGGAGTATGAGAAGGGATGGGAAGGGGAAACAAAGAGGAGGCAACAATGCTTGATAAGAAATGTACTCGTTATCTTACTCATGTAATTGTAACTCCTCTGTATGGTATTCTCACAATAAAAAATGGCATCATTTCTGAAAATATACAGATTTTTCTTATTACCTAACAATACAGTGCACAAAATATTTATTTAACATTTACAGCAGGTAAAGACAGTTTAAATAAGCTAAAAATGGTTAAAATTATACCAGAGTTATATATGGCTAGGTATAAACATGGTGCCCTTTTATAAGGGCCTTGAGTATTCAAGATCTGGCATCTTGGAACCGATTCTCACAAGGATACCCAGGGACCGTGGTAACACAGATGAATTGCTCCTACAGGCAAAGACTTCTCAGCTAGTCAGATGCTTTCCGCAAAGGTCCTGAAAGATGAAAAGCTGGATAGAAGGGTGGGCTTCCAGTGTGACAGATACTTAGAAAGTCTTTTGCTGAGAACACTGACTTCATTCTTGTGTTCATGATTTAGCTAAACACAAGAGAAAAGCTTGGAATCTGTGTTTATTTTGTACCTGTCTTTGCTCTGAGTCATTCTCTCTGCAGCTAGCTTGGAATCCAGGAAGGGGGGAGCTGATCGACAGATACCATCTTTCCATTGATGGATGGATGGAACTGGACAGACCACCCACTAGGCAACAATGACTAACTTATCACAACCAGATTGTGCCCCTCAAGTGGTGACAACGGTAACAATTCCTCCAAAATCCCTTGTTAATAATCAATTAGGCCATTCTTAGACCTGGACTGATAATTATGAAAAATTATCAATAACAATTACCATATTAAACTCTTCTCTATTGAAACCTAAAGCTCCTGTCTATATACCTTGAAGATGGGCTGCCTCCTCCACATAATAAACCAACCTCCTTTCTGAACCCGTCATTATTTATTCATCTCCATTTGTTGAATTGAGGCAAGTGGACAGACCTGTCATATGGAAGCCCTGGAGTTGAGTGTAGGGCCTAAAACTCTAAAGGACGTCAAAAGGCAGTGTAGCAGGCAATGACCTATTTTCAGGTCATATATCACAGGACTGGACAAAGGAGAGGTGCAGTCAGCCAATGTCTATGATGTTTCAGTGGGCACCATTTTCTCTCTCATGGGAAGGCTTCATTTCCTTGAAGTTTCAAATTATCTGTAGACAAGTCCCAGCACTTAAGACCTATTTTGAGCCACACATAAACATAACAGGATTCTGGTAGTTTATGAATAAAAAAACAGAGGACACAGTCTGTGAATATATTAATAGCTAACAGTTTAAACAGTGGTACCTTGAAGATAAATAAACAGAGATTCAGATTTGAGCTCATTTTATGCCCATGTTCACCACAGACCATTTGTCTTCCTTGTGTGACAAAGGCAGTGTTCCATCATACCCCTTTGCAAAGAAGGACCATGGCTGTTTAGTAGCAACAAGAACTGGGAAGCTACTGAGTTCTGACTTCTAGAATAGGCAAAGATGAGCATGAAGGTGTGAATGATAAATGCAGCTTGGGAACTGAATTCCTGAGTGACAAAGCATAAGAAGGCTTTCTTGGCCAGGTTTCTGGTGCAAGTTGAGTAGCTTTTCTCTAAAACACTTAGAACCAGACATGTTTCAGGCATCAGGTTTCTTCATACTTTAATGTATTTGAACTGACATTCCTGATTTAGAATCTCTAATCCAAAGATCACAAAATGTCAGCTTTTGGAACACTTGGGAGTCTTTTGGATCTCAGATGCTCCATTGATTTGCACTGCTTGAAACCCATCACTGCTCAGAATGAAAAATGACTCTAATGCTTGGGATCGCCACTTCCTTCTCTTTAATGAAACTTAGAAAGCAAATAAGAATGCTGTAGTTTGTACTTCAAACTGCACTGCTTTAGACACGTCTGTGCTAAGGACTTTACAGGACAGCCTACCTTCCAAAAAACAGCCAGTGAATTCTGGGAAGAATAGGGTAGATGCTTGTTGTCTCTTGATGCATGATTTGCCCCTAAAATTTTGAACACTTTCTACATTTTAGATAGCAGGAAACCTAAAGTAAAAAAAAAAAATCCAACCAAACTGGTCCTAAACTAATTTCCTTGTTTGAAAGAAGATTCTTTTGCTGGGTGCCTATAGCTTGTGCCTATAATCCTAGCTACTCAGGAGACATGAGATTTGAAGACCATGGGTCCAAGGAAGTCCAAGGCAGAAAAGTCAGTGAGACTCTTATCTTCAATTAACTACCACAAAAGGTGGAAGTGGGCTTGTGGCACAAGTGGCAGTGTGGCAGCCTTGAGTAAAAGATAACAGGGCGTCTACGCAATCTGATTTTTTTTGCCAAATTAATACATGGTAGTTCAGCCCAAACAGCTCTACAGGTTGACTAACCCTTTATGTGGCCAATTTCAGCTTCCTACCTGATTACTGCCTATGTTCTTGTCTTCATCTTAAAGTAAGATGATGTATTATAGTTTGTGTTGAAGACAAGTCAGTACAGTCAGCTCCACAACACAATAAATGATGTTAATGGGAATGCAATCCGAGCCAGTTAGGAATTGAGCAATCACATTTTAATCAATAAATACAAACATTTGTTAACCAGTTATTAGGAAGAGAGAAAACAGTAATGTCTGAAGAATTCAAAGGATAACACCGCTTTGAAAATGGAAGTCCCCAAATCTTTGCTAAAAACTTCTTCACTTAGAAAAATTAGAGATAACAAAATTTTTACTTGAAATAAGCTTTGAAATAATCTCAACAGTTTCCAGTATATCTGAAAGTTCAAACAAATTATTTTCCACATAAAATGGGAGTAGGTTATTTGCACATATGTACAGCATCTGACAACCCAGGGGAATAAAGATTTGAAAAGATGAACTGTTGAACACCAGGAAATATGATCACTGATAGTCACATTATGAGTGAGGCTCATATTTGTTTCTTGTTCCTGTCTCACTTCCCTTGCTTTACTGCATATCACAGGAAATCACAATTCCCTGAGGCCACACCTGCTGATTTTCAAGTATGGTTAGAATGGGAAGGTGCTGGTGGAAAGGACTGGAAAGGCCAGGAAATTTTTAAATGTTTGACTTAGCTCTGGCCTTGTTTCCATCTCAGGCAGTGGCTTTGTCCTTGCCACAGCTTCATTTCCCAAAATCATTTGGTGGTCCTAGTGGCCAGGAAGCTGTCTCCAACAGCTTATAGACTCAGAAAACCACACTTTCTCTCACTATTCTGAGTCCCAGCTGTAGCAAACAGCCTTCTACTATTCAGCTGGTCTTATCATCTGTATAAGTAAATTTCCTGTATTAAATGCTTTCTACTGAAACACCTAGAATGCTTTCCATTTTTCTGGAATAGATCTTGCAGGACATATATTAGAACTATTAAAACTTTTCCTCCTCTGACTTACCTGGGAAGATCTGCATGAGAATCTACCTTAATCCAAAAATCACTATGGAATGGCCACTTTCCACAATATAGGCCAATGAATATCCCTTTAGCTGTTCTGTTATTTTTTTTCTTAAAAATACCCAAACAAACTGAGATTTTCTTTGCCAGGGATAGGACCCTAACTCTCCACAAATTTCCCCACCAGTGACAGGAGACACAGCCCACAGTCTTCCCCCAGAGTCATCTTTACAGCATGCCAACTAGGTGTGATGACAAGGAGAAAGAAATACCAACAGGAAATTAATCTTAAGAGCAAATTACAAAGTCAACAAATGAGCAACAGAGTGAAAACAAAGAAAGTCTGAAAACTCCAAGGGTACTGGAAATCCCTAGAGTTTCTTCCCTGCTGAATCAATAAAATTTCCTGAAAGTAAAATCTCGTAACATTTCTGAATCTTTCAAACACATCAAAATAATAAACATTAATAATAATCTGACTTGTCAACAACCATCTGTAGCTCCTTGGATAGAAGGCAGGGTCACTGGCAGAAGTAGAGTTCTTTGGTGAGCATGGTGACCACACAAGGAATCTGCTTCTTCTCGTCAAAGCGGGGGTCATCAGACCGGGACTCAAAGTGCCTGGCCACCCTGTTGTTCACCCTGGTGAGGATCTGCATGATCTCCAAGTCTTTGCCATGCTCGTCCAGGACGGAACAAAGGGCCTGCACAAACCATGAACCTCTTCCCGGGCTCCTCCATGAGTAATAGCCTTTGACAGGAGAGAAAGATTTTGTCAACTAATTGAGGACATATGGCTCACCAATGAGAATGTGTACACACACATATTCCTTCACGCGCTCTCTCTCTTTCTCTCTCTCTCTCAACTATCAAGCACTCCAGAAATGTTTCATCTCCTTTTATTTTGGTGCCAGTACTGGGGCTTGAACTCAGAACCTCAGAATCATCCCTTGTTCAAGGATGGTGATTTACTACTTGAGTCACAGTTTTTTGCTTCCAGCTTTTTGCTGTTAACTGGAGACAGAGTCTCATGGACTCTCCTGTCTAGGGCTTGCTTCTCCTCAGATCTCAGCCTCTTGACTAAGCCAATCAGGTGTGAGCTACCATTTCTTCTTTAATTACTACTAAAGGTAATAACAAATGAGATTTTAAAAAAGTAAATGCATCCCTGTGGTATGTAGAATATTGGCCCTCAAAGATAAATAGCATCCCTAACTCTAGAACCCGTGGCTGTTTCCTTATGTGGCAAAGAACTCTACAGATGTCATGAGGGGTATGGAATTGACACCCGATGATCCCAGACTACTAGGGTGGGCCCAGACTAATTATGAGCATCTTTAGCAGCTGTGAAGAGAGAGATAAGGGGGGGGATGGGGAGGAGATGGGAAGGGAGAAGGGAGGGGAAGATTAGAGAGGATAGGACAGGTTGGTGAGATGTGAGGTTTCTGGTTTTAAACGAAGGAAAGGGTCACAAGCCAAGGAATGTGGGGCATTCTGACATGTTAGAAAAGGATGAACAGAAACAGATTTCCTCCAGAACTTCCAGAAAGGATATCGTCCAGTCAGTTCAGTCTGGCATTCTGACCTCCAGAACGTCAGTATGTGAGATACATTTACATGATTTAAAAGCCACTGTGTATAAAAAGTATCCCTTGTTCTAAAGGCTTGGGAGCAAAAGAGTTTCACATTTTGGAATATTTGCATAGATTTTACTGAATAAGAAAATGTAGAGTTGGGCACTTGTGGCCCACACCTAGTACTCATGAAACGGAAATCATGATCACAGTTCAAAGCCAGACTGGGAAGGAAAGTCTGTGACACTCTTATCTCTGATTAACTACCAAAAAGGTGAAATGGAGCCCTAGCTCAAGTGTTAGAGCACCAAGCCCAATACTGGGATCAAAACCAAAACAAAACAAAAAGGCAATCTGAAATGTTCCAAAACTGAAACTTGACTATGATGTTGGGTCTCAAGAAGGTTCATACTTGGGTTAGGGGTAATAAACCATAAATCATAACTTCAGCAACAGGAACTCATATGGTTCTCAAAACATGCACTTAGATCATGGAACAGACTGGTAAGGTAGCAGACAGTAAGTTGGATACCTGGAACCGTGGAGTAGGCGAAGAGGAAGTCAGCTTCCACTGGGATCTTATAGCGGGGATTAGCATCCGCATCCGTGTCATTGATAGGTCCTGAATCAGCCTGGATCCCATCATCAAGCTCTGTTCCTCGGCAAGCCTAAATGCCAAAGCAGAGATCACTTCATGGGGCTGGGAGCAGAAAAGCATGTGCTGTTCACTGCTGTGTCCCAGGGTCAGGAACTGTGCCTAGTAAATGCCAGCACCTCAGTGATCATCTGATGGGGGGTAAATGACTGCACTGTGAGCAAAGCAAAACATTGCAAGAGCTTAAACAAACCTTCCTAACTTGTGATCCGATGCATCCACACAGCCAACCTTTTCCAGGCAAAACAAACAAACAAAAACCCACAGACCCAAATCTGCATCTCCCATGGCATGGCGTATACAGTCACAAAGATAATGCAAAGCCCCATCTTTCTGTGTTCCTGTCCTATGCTCATTCCTACTGGCTTTGAAAAGTGATTACCTGAATGAAGAAGAGTTTGGGTTTCTCTAAAAGGGTTTTGCACCGATCTCCCCTAAAATGGGCTGTTAAGTCCTTTATTGGTGTCACACCATCTTTTCCATAAATTAAATTTTCTTCTCCATGGCTCAATAAGATGCAGGCAAAGCAGGCTGAATTGCTGTGGTCCTCCTCAGAAGCTGCAAGCAAGCAACGTAAATACTGAAAAGTTAAAACTCATATCCTACAGCACGGAAGATGTGGCACTTCAGCAAGATGTCCATGACCACTCAAGAGGGACCAGGGAGGGCCCAAGGAGGGGCCGGGGTGGAGAAAAGGCTCCAGCCAAAGGCTAGGGGCTTGGATTGGACCACTCCTCTGAAGAAAGGTTAGAGAGAATTCTGAAACTCTTGCTCAGTCAGCACCCAAGCTACAGTGGCCTCATCAATACCAAAGGCCCAGGTGTTCAAGCAACTTGTGGAAGAGCTTATTGGGTAGCAGAAGGGCAGAACTCAGCGTTTGACTAGTTGATAATGGTTTGTTTGTAAAGCAGAGGTGATAATCCTAAATAAGAAGCAATGCAAGTATTTGTTGAGAAAAACATTATACCAAGAGGAATAAACCAGCTGCCATAGGACAACTATGATAGGAGTCTATGTTGGTAATATAACCAAGAGAGGTCAAGTTCACAGAGAGAAAGCAGAATGGTGATTGCTAGTGGCTGGGAAGGAGGAGACAGGAGGAAAGAGAAAGAAGTTAGGTGTTTAACAGGTGTAATATTTCAGTGATGGGAGAAGGAAAGCATTCTGGAGATGCACAATAATTTGAATGTGCTTAACGACACTGAACTATACAGTTAAAATATCAAAATCATAATTTTTACATCATGTATCATTTAGTAGAATAAAAAAACAACAACAAAACTAAAGTCAGGCTCAGTGGATCAAACCTGCAATTCATACTCAGGAAGCTTGGAAACTTGGGAGGATGGCAATTCAAGGCCAGCCCAGAGAAGAAAGTTCATGAGATAACCCCCTGCCCTATCTTAACCAATAAAAGCTAGGTGTAGTGGTGTGCACTTGTCATCTAGCTATGAGGAAATCTTAAACAGGAGGATCACAGTCCAGGTAAAGTGAGCGATCCTAATTAAAAAAAACAAAAGCAAAATGGGCTGGACGAATGACTCAGGCAAGTAGTGCCTGCCTAGCAAGAGCAAGGCCCTGAGTTCAAAGCCTAGCTCTTGTAGAATTTCTTTTTAAAAGACAACAAAAATGTTGGTTCAGACCCATGACCACCAAGAAAAAAATGTTGGACTGGCTATCAATGTGGAGTACTAAGAAGAGGTATCTGAGACCTCAGGAGCAGGTGACCTAGCTCCAACTTATCGAAGGGATACAAACTAACCAACTAGCTAGGTAACTAACTCGCTAACCGATATGGGGTTTTCTTGTTGATGACCATTGAAGGGACAAGAATATAATTTAGAAGGCCCTGAATTTAAGTCCTAGCACTCAGGGCAGGCACTTTACATGGATTATATTCTTCAGTCCCTACAAGAGTCCTTTGAAGTAGGTCTTACTTTGATATCACTGATAAAAAGTATAGCTTTGGGGTAGTATCATAAATTTTCCCAGGCAGCTCAAGCTTGAGCCATAACCCCATCATCCTTCAAGCCCTGCTGTTCCCATGGCTCCCACCAACAGGCATGGTCTCCGCTCTTCTCATCAATGAGACACCTGTGCTTGGAGCTCACACTGATTTGTTAGTATTGAAGGACAAAAAACGATGGTGAGGAAAGTTGGAATTCTTAGCTGAATTCCTAGTTGGGAAAGGGAGAGATTTTCCTCACAGGAATCCATTACACACACAGTCAACAGAAATAACTGCTTTGCTGATTCCATAGAACAATAATCAAGAATTCCCTGTTGATAACAAGCTTTGGGCATGGATAGAATAATGCTTTGCTGATTCCACAGACAATAATCAAGATTTCCCTGCTGATAACAAGCTTTGGGTAGAATAATTTGCCATCCACAAGAATACAAACCACAGACAACTGGTACACTCCCTTATGCGTGCAGAGGCCAATATTCCTCCCTAAGCATGTGCACAGATTTTCTCACGGCTATTACTCCCCAAACTCTGAGAAATGGGAGCAGGGTGGGGGAAGAGGCACACTGGAATCATTTCAACAGAACAAAGTGATCGGGACGATAAGATAGGTAGCTTTGTATGGGTCACCTACAGGTGAGGACCAGAATTTGACCCACCTCTGAAAGCACCAGTCTGGTCTATCGTGTGACCTAGTAGGGTATAACACATCAGTATGTAAGATTCATGTTCAAAGGAATTAGCAAAAGATGTCTAATTCTGAGAGAGGGGGAAGGGTCACGTTTTTTTTCATGTTGTAGCTAAAAACAAACAAACAAAAAACAAACCTACAGTAAACCATCTACTGCCTGGGGTCCCCTTTAGAATGAACTGATCAGATTTTACTTGCAAATGTTTGCCCCAAATGTCACAGCAGGCCAAGTGACACTACTAGATGGTGTGGTAAGTAGGTCTAAGAGGGAGCACCAGAGCTTGAGGTCTGGTTCTGCTCCTAATTTGCTCTTCAATCATTCCTTATCTAAAGCTCTTCCTGCACATTTAAAAAGTGGGTATGCATCCTAGGCAGTGGGGGTGGGGAACAAATGTAGACATAATACTCACTAAACATTGGTGAAAGGGGGCATACGGGTAACTTAAGGGGATGGGTAGGGTTTGGAGAGTTGGGGGAGAACAAGAGGAGGGGTGAGATGGATCAAGGTGCCTTAAAGTACTTTTGTACAATTGCTTAAAATAATAAACAAATATTTAAAAAGTGGGCATGCAAACATAACATCAGCCAGAATTGTACCAACTATATTAAAAATTCAATGAAATAAAATCTTTTTTTTTTTTTGGGTCCGGTCGTGGGGCTTGAACTCTTGGCCTGGGCGCTGTCCCTCAGCTCTTCAGCTCAAGGCTAGCTAGCACTCTACCACTTGAGCCACAGCGCCACTTCCGGTTTTTTTTTTCTTTTTGCTTATGTGGTGCTGAGGAATCGAACCCAGGACCTCATGCATGCAAGGCAAGCACTCTACCACTGAGCCACCTTCCCAGCCCTCAATGAAATAAAATCTTGAATATGCCAAATAGGAAACAGAGAGTTTATGCTGTCAGAGAGTTTATGCTTAAATCTGATTCTTGACTTGGAGATGTAGATCTATAGCTTCTCCTGTAACTAGATTTTTTTTAAAGTGACCAGTTCTGATCATTTGGAACCTCTCTCTCTTGCTGGAAATGAAATTAAACCATTCGGAGAGGCCTGCCTCTCCCGGGACGGAATCGGAGCAGCCAGAGGAAGAAGGCTCCCCACGCTGAAGTCCCCTTGTCTTGCCAAGGCCTCCTGAGCCCTCCCCTGCTCCCCTCTATGCATGGGAAAGGCGGAGCAAGAGGCACAGGTGCTCACCTTGCTTAAGCAGTTCTTGCATCTTGGAGCAAGAGCAGTCATTATAGACCACCACTTCAAACCCCAGGCTTTGGAAGCACTTGAAAAGGGCCTCAGCATCTTTGTCTGTTCCATTTCGGACACCCATACCTGTGGGAATAAAGGAGGTCTTGGATTAGCAGCACTGCCTGCAGGTTCTAACCCAGAGAGCTCCTTCAACATAAATGCTCTGAGTGTATGTCACCTTCGAGGGCACCAATGAAATGAGAAGCAAACTCATGGGAGGGGGACTCAGCCTGTCCACAGAAGGTGAGCCGCCTCATGGTGAGTCCCAGCCCCACTGAGCCACTAAGCCCCACTAAGAACCCTTGATTCTAAGCCCCCTGGCCAAAGTCCCTTATCAGCTAATATGCATGCTGGGGCCTTAGATGGAAGGTTCCTAGCTTCTTTCCATGCCTTTCCCTGGACACACGACTATCACCTCAGAGGCCTTGTCTGCCACAGGACATGGGCATAGCATTTCTCCAGTGAGTACTACACATGGAAAGGAGGGGTTGGCCCAAGGCCCCCACCACATACCTGTCACTTTGTCGAAGTTCTTATTGTTTATTATGATACATTTTCCCACCTTCTCAAAGTTCATATCATATTGGAATGTAGGTACTCGGTCCCGGGGGGGCCTGAGTGATCGTGAAGAGCCACTTTTCTTCTTCTTACTGGGGAAAGAGAAAGCCAGTCAGGGGCTGTGTTCAAAAGCTGGGCAGGAGTGGGTCTCCTGTGCCTAGGAAAAGCCATATCTGTGAAGAAAACACCTGAGTGGACAGATGGTTCTGTTTATCTGCCATGTGTCCATGGAATGAGTTCCCTGGTAAAGTTTGCTGGATGTCAGTGAAATGTAAGTTTGAATTACCATCCTGGAGTGATCAGCACTGGGACTGCCACCCAGGACAAGGGTAGATCTACTGTGACATGCACTGTGCAAGATGGGCAGAATCCACCAAAACTGAGCTCACACACACCTGCGACAGAGCATTACCTGGCGCGGGTAATGCAAGCACGTGCCAAAAAGCAGAGCCACAACAGCTTCAAACAGGAAGTGACCCAGACAACATTTACGGGAGAATGGCTAAACTCTTGCATATTCATGTAGTGAAATCTCACAACAATGAATAAACCATGACAATATGAAGCAATATGAATTTCACAAAAATAACACAGTTAGGGACCAATACACAAAAAGATACACACAGAATTCAAAATACTAATACCTAATACCAGCTATTCAGGGGCTGGAGAATGGGAAAACTGGGGTTTGAGGACAGCCCAGGAACAAAGTTCACAAGACCTCCAGCTCCACAAATACAAAGCTGAAAATGGCCAAGGAAAAATCGAAACTCAGCAGGTACTTGATAAATGTGGGTTCTTTTTTGTGGGGGGGAGGAGGAGGAAGGTAGTATTAGGATTTGAGCTTAGAATCTTGTGCTTGTTAGACAGGCACTCTTGCAATTGAGCCATGCCCCAGCCCTTTTTCTTACTTTATTTTTCAAGTTGGGTCTGCCCAAGGGCCAGTCTTGGACTACAATCCTACTATCTTTGCCTTGGGAGTAGCTGGCCCCCAAATCAAATTCTTTTTTTGGGGGTGTGGGGGTGGGAGGTAGTACTGGGAATTGAACTCAGGATAAGCTCACCAGGTAAGTGTCCTTGAACCATGCCCTAGGCATGGTTCCTTGATTTTAATCCATAGAAGTGTCTCAGAATCTCTGAAAGGAAGTGATATTTCTCTTTCCTCTTCCCACTGTTGTTGTCCTGATTACAGACCAGCACTGTATGTCTTTTCTATCTTGTCAAATTCCTATTTCAATATGACCTCCATTGATTGATTGACTGACTGTACTGGGTTTTGAACTCAGGGCTTCATGATTGTTAGCCAGGCATTCCTCTTGATTCACCCTTCCAGCCCCTTTTGCTCTGGTTAATTTTGAGATAGAGTCTTACTTTTTTTGTGGAGGCTAGCCTGGATCCTTCTATTTTTTGCTTCTTGCTATAGCTAGGATGACAGGTATATGATAGATATATACAGGGCATGCCATGGGTACTGTGACTGTCACAGTGATGTAGGGGTAGGATGGCAGCGGGGTACCCTTCCCGTGGACTGCCTCCCATTTTGGGATGACGTATGTGTTTCTGTATGGACATGCCTCACAGACATTGCCACCTGTCAAGTCCTACTGATGCTAACAAAGGTGATTACAGGGTCCAGCAGAGGGGAAAGGGTGAATATGATCAAAGGCATGCAGGAAAATTTCCTAAGGAAACCTGCTTAAAAATCGTAAAAAAAAAAAGCCGGGCGCTGGTGGCTCACGCCTGTAATCCTAGCTACTCAGGAGGCTGAGATCTGAGGATCGCGGTTCAAAGCCAGCCCTGCAGGAAAGTCTGTGAGACTCTTATCTCCAATAAACTACTAGAAAACCAGAGGTGGAGCTCAAGCAGTAGAGCACTTGCCTTGAGCTGAAGAGCACAGGGACAGCGCCCAGGCCCAGAGTTCAAGCCCCATGACCGATCAAAAAAAAAATATTGTAAAAAAATATATATGTTCTACAGCCTCTGAAAAGATAAAAATCGACTTTTATGTTCTGCAATAAAGACCAAGTAACAAACAAGCTATGGGGTTGGTTGGTTGGTTTTGTGCCAGTAGTGGGGGGCTTTGAAATCATAGCTTGGACACTGTCCCTTAGATTTTTTTCACTCAAGGTTGGCTCTCTGCCACTTGGGCCCCCTGGCTTTTTGCTGGTTAACTAGAGCTAAGAGTATCAGACTTTCTTGCTCATGCTGGCTTTGAATCGTGATCCTCAGATCTGAGGCTTCTGGGGAGCAAGGATTCCAGGTGTGAGCCACCAGCATCCCACAAAATAATGACTTAAAAAAAAACTGTAAACTAAATATGGAATACATCATGATTTTGCATGTCATCTTTGCACAGGGGTCATGCTAATCTTCTCTGTATCACTCCAAACTTTAGTATATTGCTGCGGAAGGGAGACACAAGCCACGGACTTTTGAAAGTACAGTCATTACTGCCTCCTCAGAGATGTGCAGAAGAAAAGAAGAGTATCAAGGGTCTTATATAAGAACAAGCTTGGAGCTAAGTCACATGACAATTCAAACCACACTGCTTCCATTAGAACTTGGAAAATGAATTCATTGTTTTTAATGTGAATTATGCTTTTGTTAATTTGGTTTTAAAAAGAAACACAACTAGGGAATAATGCTACACACACTTGAAAGAGGGCACTGTCTGCAGTTATGAAAAGACCTGACACTGTATGTGAAATATGATTCTTTCATCTGGTAAACATCTCCAAAGGGTGGTAAGGGCAATTGCTTTGCCCTAAGCTTGCCCCTAACTGACCTTTCTTCTTTCAAAGTGAACTTGATATCTGCTTCCTCTTTGGGGGATTTGTGTCAGTCAATATTAATGGTTCCTTCTAACCGAAGCGGCTTTGTGTTAAACCTAAGCCTTCCCAGACCACGGGTATGTATTAGCAAGGGATCACCAATTCAATTCCAGTGCATTTACCTTGCCCAGAAGCCCAGAGGAGCTGGTTTGGGGCTAGCAAAGGATCAGCCTCCAGCAGGTATATAACTGAAGGGACAAATGAAAGGCAAAGTGACTAGAAAAGCAAGGAGGGGAGGAGGACTGAAACTTACTACATAGAGCTATTCTGTTTTGAGTGAGAATCCAGAAACTGAGTCTGCCGCCTACTCTGTCCTGTTGTCCCTTTAGCATGTAAATTACGTTGTATCCCCTGACCTAAATTACAGGCATGTCCATCTCTCGTTAGAAGATAAATTATGTTTAAATTAATAGTAACTAATTACTTTCTTTTACATGAGGTCTTGCTATCTTGCCCAAGCTGACCTTGACTGCTAGATTCAAGAAATCCTCTTGCCTCAGCCTCCCGGTAGCTGGGACTACAGGGCTGCATCACTAAACCTGGCTAATGGGAAACTGTGAAGGCAGGATTTGGATTAGTTCCCTGCTGCTTCTCAGCTCAGAAGCTCACTCAGGCATACTTCGTGAATGAGTAACGAGCACTTCAGCTGAGGAAATACAATAGGTATATACCCCAAGTAACCCCCAGTCTAACTGGACACACACTCTGCAGACCTGAGAGTTGCAGGGAGCTTCAGGCTTCAGAGGAGGAGAAGGAGCAGCTGCCCAGGATCATACTTTTACCCTGCTGCAAGCATTAGAGTTACAGCCTCAGGCTTCAGGGTCACAAAGTGAGAAGGAACTGACTTCTGATCTTACATTAATGTCCCTTTCTCCTTGCCTCTCTGTGGAGGCAATGAGGGAAGAGCAAGTGAGGTACCACTTTCCTGGTGACAGGGCAGAGTACCAGGTGGTGGCCCTGGATTGGCACCCCTCCACACGTCTCAGCCTCTCGGCCCCTGGACCGGCAGGTCAGACACGCTGTATTTCAGAAACCACAGCACACCAGTGCTTCCCCGGGTACCACCGCAGGTACAGGGTGGTCATGGGTCTAATTCATAACCCTGAACCCTGCACAGAAGGCCCAACCCTGATAGCAAACCCAGTTACACCAGTTACTTTTAATACCACCACCAACAGCGTCCTAGGGTGTGTCATTGTGGCTGATGTCACTGCTGAAGCCCCCTCCTCTGTGACACATTGCCTGGAGTCCCCTTCCTGCTGAAAGGATTTAGGAGGGTATAGGCATTATACCCCGTTTCCAGCCACTGAAAAGAAGTCTCACTAAAAATCAGCTGCTGGAGCCCAGCGGAACTCTAGGTAATGGGCTGCTATTGGATGTAGAACGGGGCCCAGGGGAGGGGGAAAGCTAATTAATTAGCTCACTGCAGCAAAATGGCAGCATTCCAAAGCTCTGACAAGATCCCAAGGGGTCCCCCAGAAGCCAGGTGGGACGGTAGGGGCTAAGAAGGGACTTAAGAAGCTTGCAAAGATCCAGCTTAGAAACTTCATCAGCTAACCATCATCCCCAGAGACAAGATTTTGTAAAGGTGGCTGTCCCCACCCCAGGTCCATATGACCAACCTTTCTGTAGAAGATGTGGGAACATAGGACAAAGACCCCGTGGGGCAGGGGAAAAGAAATGCACACTAAGCGTCTCTTGGGTCTAGAGTATTTCAAATGGTACAGGCAGCTGAGTGCCAGTGGCTCAGGCCTGTAAGCCTAGCTACTCAGAAGGCTGTGATCTGAGGACTGTGACTCAAAGCTAGTTCAGGCAGAAATATCCATAAGACATAATCTCCAATTAACCAGCAAAAAGCCAGACGTGGAGGTGTGGCTCAAGTGGTAGAGTGCCAGCTTTGAGTGAAAAAGCCAAATGAGAGTGAAAGGCTGAGTTCAAGCCCCAATATAAGCACTAAAACAAAGAAACCAAACAGCACAAACAGTGGAGAAAGTATTTTTTTTAATTCAGACCAGTCAGGTATGTGATTATTTTAAGTCCTGGGTTTTACAAAAGGGAGTTAACAGCCATTATCACACTTTCTAGGCTACCCTCTAGGCCAGGCCTGCCTCTCATTTCCTCTCCCTTTGTTAATTCTCTGCAGATAACTAATATTTATCTTGGCCTTTTTTTTAACATCCCCCAAGACTTTCTCCAAGATTATTTTGCTTGAAAGAAACACAGGATTCCTGTTTTGGAGGCTGTCACAAAGAGCAAAGTCCATGCTAAATCAGACCAGTGAATTCAAAGTGCTAAATCCTCTTAAAAGCTTGAGTGTTCCACAATTGGCTGAAGATGAAAAAATATTTAAATCTGGCCCCTAAATCACTATCTTAGGGCCAGACAAGCAAGATGGCAGCATACTACACTCTGCTGCTGAAGTGACTTACAAAGCGTGAGTACGTGTACATTAAGATGGGATGGAAAGAAAGGTAATTCTCAGGGCAGGTAGAAGGCATTGATGCCTAACCCCACTCTTCCTCTCCTTCCTCGCTGCCTCTAGGAATTCAGGCAAATCCCATTACCTTCACTGCTCAGATGCTTTCAGATGTGCTAGACTCTGCCAGCAACACACAGCATGAAGCACATCCTCCTAACTTCACAGGTAGACAGCCATTTCTTACAATCTACCATCTCACACGGTGAGGCCAGCTCAGACATTTTCACTACAACCAAGTCAGGAGTCAACATGGACAACCCAGCTTTGTGGGTTATTTATATGAAGAATCTACAGCCACTTGCCCTAGACAACATTGCAGGATAAAAATATTCTGCCCACTTGATGAGGACTTGGCAAACCTCAGGAAGTACACAATGGGCTTTTTACAATCCACTCTGGGTGCCGGTATAATTTTCCCCATCACTGGAGTAGATAAATACCAATTTTATCCTCTTACAGATCCCTGGGGCTGCTGGAAACGTGAATTACGCCTTTCTATATTTGGAAGAGAAGAGAAGCATGCAAACCCACTCCTATTTCTTTTCTAAAGCCCTCTCATGGCTTGGCATCCCAGCCGCTCTGTCTGTTTGTAGACATTCCTCAGTAAGCAGTAAACACACCACCAGTAGGTACACAGCTCCCTGGGGCCGTGCATCTGCATCAAGAGCTCTGGTTTTTGTAGCTGCTTTGTCTAAATATTTTTGGAGTTATTCATTCATGGTTTCAACAGAGGGCATCCCCACAAGACTGTACATAACCTACACAGGCCTGGAGCAGGACAGGAAGGGAAAGAGAGAAGAGAAATACCTGGAGTCTCCATTCGGAAGCAGCCCCCTCTGTAGCAGGAGCAGGCTTCGCCCCGAGACCACAGGGAGGGAGTTACCCTCTTCTCTGTAGTAGTAGAAACTCAGCATGCTCGGAGCTCAGCAGAGGATGGGAGACTGGCATGGGCTGGCAGGCCCTGGAGGCCCGTGACTGAATCAGCAGTGAGTTCCACACTGGAGTTTTCCATAGGACCATTCAAACTCTGCTGGGAAGGTCACACTGGCTTCCCCTTCTCTGCTGACGGGCAGAAATAGCCAGTGTCTACATGGAGCCCCCCCCCCCTCCTATCCCCCACAGCTCCCTGTGGAAAGCATTCTAGGGGGATGGGGTCCAAAAGGAAGAAAGATAGACTTCCACAACACATATAGCCAGCAGTAGATCTTCAAGAGTGAAACACTGGAAAGGACGTGTGTATGGCTCAGCCAAGAGGCTGAGTAGGAACAGCAGAAACCATTCACACGATAAGTGTGCACACAAGGCCAACCTACCCAAGTGTCCATCCTCAAAAGGTTGTGTAATAGTACCCGTGTGGGTGGCAAATACAGAAGACCATAGCAACGAAATGAACAAAAACAGATGGTAAGTTGATAGGAAATTAAACAGTTCATTAGCGTGGTTTTTGGCTTTGAGGTTTTATTTTTGCTTCTGTTTTACAGAGACCAGATCTTGCTATTTATCTCAGGCTAACCCCAGAACTCATTAAACATACCAGGCTGGCCTTGAACTCACAATCCATCAGCTTTCTCTCTGCAACGCTAGGATTACAGGCATGTGCCACCATACCAATCTGATTTGTTCCTTCTATAAGTACTCAAACTAGCAGTGCATAGAAAAGCACCCCAGAAGGGTGCTTACTTTTTTTTTTTTGTCCATCATGGGGCTTGAACTCTAGGCTTGGGTGCTGTCCCGTGCTCTTCAGCTCAAGGTGAGTGCTCTACTGCTTGAGCCACAGCACCACTTCAGGTTTTCTAGTAGTTTATTGGAGATAAGAGTCTCACGGACTTTCCTGCCTGGGCTGGCTTTGAACCATGATCCTCAGATCTCAGCCTCCTCAGTAGCTAGGATTACTTTTTAGAAGAAGTGGATAAACATTTCTCTGTGGTTTTGCATACAGGGAATGATCCAAGTGCTGTTACTGCTTCCCTTCCCAACCCTCCAAAGGCAACAAGGAAAATGTGCACACATCAAGCACGACACGTAAGCAAGCAAATAACCATGCTTTTCACCATTTCCCGAGGGAGGGTCGTAGCCAGTGCAAACCGCAGAGCTGAAGTGAGGTGACCGCACCTGCCGCCCTGGGCGGTCCTCTCGGTCACTTTGCCATCCTCAGCTCTGTGAACAAGAAAAACAATTAGCTCTCCACATTTTTCTCTGAAACTCCGCTTGCAAAGCAACGTTTTGCTAACAAAGGAGTAAATCTTAAAAATCATTTAGGAGAAGTAAGGAGCTAGGTTCTCTTTAAATAGCCTGAAAGAGTGAGTGGGAGACTCGAGCAGTTGTCTGGATTGTGACTGAGCTCAGGTGCAGATGGGGCAGATAGCATCATCTCTGACTACTTCATCCTTTGCTCCTTCTCACACGCAGTCACTCCCTTGCAGCAGAGTCCCTTGCCAGAGAGAAGGCTGGCGAGCTGGGGTTTAAACAAGTAATGCCAAGCTGTAATTCCCTACTTGAGATGGCCTGTTCATTAGAGAAGCAACAGATTGTATGCTCAGTGTATTCCTCTATTACTAGATTCAGTTGTTCTCTATTAGTGTCCTCCTCCTCCATCCCCAACACTAGGGCTGGAACTCAGGGCCCCCACCATCACTGGGCTTTGTCTGCTCAAGGTTGGTTCTCTACCACTTGAGCCACACCTTCCATATTTTTGCTAGTTAAATGGAGATAACAATGTCATCTATGTTTCTGTCCAGGCTGCTTTGAACCATGATCCTCTGTCTCTTGAGTGGCTAAGATGACAGGCGTGAGCCATCGGCATTCAGTTCAGTGGTGGTTTACATTTTTAGGCCTGTATGCTCTTGCGTGGATGTAGCTTGTCCCTGCTCAAACTCATACGGAAACAAACCTGCTAGTGTAATGGTACTGAGAGGTGATGAAATCGCTAAGAGGTAACCATGGCACGGGACAGAACCCTCAAGGATGCATTAGTGTGGTTCTCCAGGGGCAGGATTTCCTTGAGACTTCTCTCCAGAGTGGTTGTTCCAGTGATGCTTTCTACCCCTGCACCCCACCTCATATATCCCCTTGCCCTTCTGTCTCCTGACATAAATTGAAGCAGTCCAAAGACCTCACCAGAAGCCCAGGTTGTTCTTTTGGACTTCTTAGCCTCTAGGACCATGAGCCAAAACAAGCCTGTTCTTTATAAATGACCCAGTCTTGCGTATCCTGTTATTGCAAAAGAAATGGGGCTAAGACACTATGAAAACCTGACTCACCTCCCCTTCCTTACCTTCTCTTTTCACCACAGAGTTAATTTTCCTTCTATAGTTTCAGAACCTGAAATACTTGGAAGTATTCTACCTAGCAGAAGCTTCAGCCTCCAGTTCCTGAGCTGGGTGGCCCGTTTCCGTGGCCTGTGGTCCCTCTTCGTGGAGGGTCACTGCTAGCCCAGATGCAGCAGCTGTCTGTGTTCTACCCCTCCGCTGAAGTGAAGCATAAAAGACAATGCAGATGAAGAATTTGATCTGCAGACCCACTTGGGCAGAAGGAAAAAAACTGCTCTGTTGATGGATTGATGTAGGTGAACAGCTGTGGAGGGCACTTGACATAAAGATGTGAGCACTGGACCCCAAGACAGGCCTGTGCCTTCATCCGGCCCTGCTGGTTATCTATGGGTTAGGCGTTTTTTACCTCTCTGGGCTGACTTTTCATGTGGGAAAGATTACCTTTTAAGGGGTTGTCATATGTTTAACATCATAAATCTATGATTTCTTCCTCATCTGAGTACATTTGGTACTAGGGGAAGCTGACAGTGCCTTTACTTCATTCTCACTTAAGTCCAAAGTATGAGAATTAACAGCCCCATTATGCAGATGAGGAAACTGAGGCAGGCTTCTCACTGTCCCTTGCCTAGTGAGTGAGAGGCAGGGACAGAATCTGAGATGGGGTTGTAAGATTTCACTCCACCTCCACCATTACTTATTTGTGTACCACTACTGCGGCTTGAACTTAGGGTTCTGGGCATTATCCTTTAGCTTTGTTGCTCAAGACTGGCACTCTACCACTTGAGCCATACTTCCATTTCTGGCTTTTTTTTTGATACTTCATTGAGGATAAGAGTTTCATGGACTTCCCTGCCCAGGTTGGCTTTGAACTGTTATCCTCAGATCTCAGCCTCCTGAGTAGCTGGGTTTGAGCCACCAATGCCTGGCTCCATTTGTCATTTTATGTGATCTCTTCACTAATTCCAACACGGCCTTCAACCTTTATGCCTCTTCCTAAACAAAACTGAGAGAAGGCCTTCAGTGTCCTGGAGACTGAATGTGAAGAGTCCCATACTGAAAAGTAAATACCCTGGGTATGAATAACTTCATGTTCATATTTTCTCAGGAGCTCAAGCCTCGCCTCTTTCAGTGGATGCATCACCATCAATGTGGAGCACATCCTTTGGAATGAGTAAAGCTCTGGCCTCTTTATTCTTGTCCCTAATTCCAAAGCCTCTAGTCTCACATACTTTCCCTTGTGCAAAAGGAAGGCAGCGGCAGATCTGACTAGTAATGACAAAAATAGAGATCTCTTACACAGGACCCACGGATGGAGGTAGCAGTCCCAGAGAGAGAATTATAATCTAGTGGCATTTATTAGATACTCTTCTGGAGCAAGGGCTGCAAAGCAAAGTCTATGCCAAAGAGAAAGCCCATGTGATCCAAGCCACCGCCTCAGATTTTGAGACAGAGCCTTTTGTCCTTCCCTCCCGAGGGGAACAGCAAAGATCAACAGTCCCCCTCAGCAGAGACACACAAGTCCCCATGCTGCCAGGGACAACTGGGATGGTGTGAAATCTTTTTGCTGCTTTTCTTTTCTTGACTTCTGACCTTGGGCATAGCTCACATAGGAGCCTCTGGTTTCATAGCTAAACGGTCATAGGACAGAATGTCTTCCAGGCTGCTGGGCAGCTTCTCTGGGGCCTGGACCTCCAGTGGCCCAGCACTTGGTGCCATGGAGACCCATCTGATAGTCTCCAGGTGAAGCCTGTCTGGACCCTCATTTCTATCCCTGCTGTGGCCCTTACGCGCTGCCTCGCGCTGCCTGTCCTCTAGCGCCCCCTCTGTCCTTTCTTTGACAACTCAACTTCCGAATCTTCCCCCAATTCCTTCCTTCTCTTTCCTAGGCAATCAGTGATTATTTTCTGTAGGCATTCAGGAGAAACTTGACTTTATGTTCCTGGACAGTGGGTGAAAACGGTAGATAGTCCACAGCTACTTTTATATTGTAGTTTGCTGTACATCTGTGATCGTTGTTGTTCAAGAGGCTGAGATATGAGATCAAGATTCAAAACCAACCCAGGGAAATCTTACCTAAAAAGGAAATGAAAAGTGAAGGGCTAGGCTATGGCTCAAGTGATAGAGCTTGCTTAACAATCCTAAGCCCTGAATCAAAATCCCCGGTACTACAAGAGAAAGAGAGGAAGCGAGGGAAAGGAAAGAGGAAGAGAGAGAGGGAGAGGGACAGAGAGGGGAAGGAGGGAGAGAAGAGAAGAAGAAAGAGTCCCCTTAGAGTCTAGTGGGCAGGAGACTTTATGCTATAAAATGTGGTTCGTACTGATTGCAGACTGATTTCCTCTCTGATTGCCCCATCTACTAATTTCCTCTAAATAGTTGTTTTAAAGCCTACTTTATTCATTTTAAATTACCTTGAGTAATTTTCTTTTGTTCTATTTTGTGTTTCTACATGTTTTTTTCATAACCAGGAAATCAGAAAACCATGTTCATACTCATTGTTTTTTAGAAAGTAAAGAGCCACCTCAATTATGCAGTCCATGCACTGGAATAAAACGATGTGGTCCTGCCATCTAGTGGCCGTGAGGCAAAAGACAAGACAGTCTGACGTTGTGGACCTGGGGGCCAGAGTCCCTTCCCTGGAAAGAGGGTTTCTTTCAGTTTCCTAGAATCCCTGATGTTCCAGGAGAGGGCAGGCCAGCAGTCTGGTCTTTAATTAGGCACGAATGACTCACTGATGATAACCCTGAGCACCTTAGATAAGGGACTAGGATGGACCCAGGGGGAAGATGCCTGACATCCAGAGGTGCCAGCCACACTCCCGGGTGCCACCCAGGCTTCTGATGAGGGGATACATAATGACCTAAGACAGAGAAGGATTGGGAAGTGATCCCTGCACCTCCCAGTTGTAGAGGATACAATCAAACTCCTGAAGCTGCGTTCAGGCCACCCCAAGGGGTTCCACTTCAGCAACCTAAAAGATCCTGGTTAGAACCCTTCGAGGACAGAGGTTAAAGTGAAGGGTGTAGTACGGGCCAAGGGGCTGCGTGTGACACGGGACCCTTCTTCTCTCTGCTTTGACCACACTAAATGCATTACCTCTGGTGGTATACAGACAGGCCCAGGTGCCATTTCCTCATCCCCTCTTCTTCAGTCTCTCCTTCTACCTGGACACAAAACCCAGTTGTTCCCACTTCCAAAGTCCTACTTTATCAAACCCATCGTCACCTGGGAGGGCGGCCCCAGCTGGCGGCCCTTCCCGGTAAGGACTTCTGCAGTCCTTAGGGGTGATTCTGAATGGCATCCATCACCTGTCCACTTCTGCCTTTCTTTTCTCTCACATAAATGCTAATGATTCATTGCTGCCCCCCCCCCCCCCAACACAGAGCCTGGGAGTTGAGGCTGACAGCTCCCTTTGTAAAGCAAATGGAGAGGATTGGAATCCCAGCTCAGCCACTAATCAATCACAGTCTCTACTCAGTGTAAAGGACTTTACCTACTCCTGCTTACTCAAGGACTATCCAATGAATAAAAGAAACAATGAATTGCTGATCAAAAAATGGCATCTCAAGTGACTGACTTTAAAGCTGGTGGTACTTCAGTAGATGAAAAACTTTTGAGTAAAAACAAAAAAAGAAGGAAAGTCTAAATTTTAAGGCTAAGTCACAAATCCTAATGGAATTATATTTAAATTGCCTTCCTCCTGGCAGGTGATTAATGTATTATTGAATTCAATTACAGCATCAGAAGCTTAAAGAAGTTAGAGAAAATAAACAATATTTTACAACCTAGAAGGATAAAATCTTTAACTGGCATTCATTACAGCTCAATACTGTTTAATAATTCATCAATCTTGCCTTACATTTCATGCAACTAAACTAAGAGCTTCAGAAA